AGCGATAGACAAGTGTGTTTTAGAGATGAATAGAAACCACAAATTTCATTTTAATCCAATTTTATTATCGTTATGATCTGTGACAATAAATATTTTAATATTATCTACATCTTTAATGATTATAGATTCTTTCTCCCTTATGTTAGCTAGTTTATTAATTATTTTTTAATAAGTTTTTTCTGAAATTAGATGTGTCTATTAATGGTGTTATTACTTAAGAAAACGGTTGCTGAACACGATAGGCCATTGAAAACAGTTTCTCTAACTTCCCCCTTAGTATTCCATAAGATTAATCAAACTTTTAATTATTTTCTATAGTTTCAACTATGATTTTTTTAACTGTGCAATAGTAAAAGGGAAAAAGATGAATAATGATGAATTTTATATTTTACAATTTGACTATGATGATGTCAACTGATATACCTTATGATCTTAATAGTTTCTTAAATTATGTTAACTAATATTCTTAATCATCGGTCATATTAAAAGTGTCTGTACCAATATTTTTTTCCTAAAATTCTAATATGTAACTCGATTGGTCATAGTGAAAATAGATGAGATGTTTGGCTAATTTTGTCGATCATCACTAAGCATAACTTTTAACTTTCGTGTTCTAACAGAAAAGACAAATGAATCAAAAAAATAATGAAGAATATCAGAAAGAAATTATAATTAGTCAACCTATTAGGTAATAATGGAAATACATAATCTAGTTTAAATTACATAAGCAATATAAATTAACATTTTATATCTTTAATAGAGTACCCCAAATGTCATTGAAAAGCTTTGATATAGGATGTGGTATTGGTAAAGGACAGTTTGGCCGTGTTTACATTGCAAGGAAAAAAATAAGTAGCTATATAGTAGCCTTGAAGGTGCTATCTATTGGGAACTAATTAAAGTAAACACTAAAAGACAATTAAGACACGAAGTAGAGATATAGATGAATCTAAGGTAATTTTTAAATAAAAATATATGATTACCTTTTTAGTGACTGAATAAATGTTTAAATATGAAAGACATCCAAATATTCTTCGACTTCTTGGGTATTTTTAAGATGATATATATTTTGTTTTAATCCTTGAATATGCAGCCAAAGGAAAACTTTATAAACAACTTGTAAAATTAGGTAGACTTAAAGAAAAAAAAAGCATCAAGGATTTGTTTATTAATTTTTGAAATAAATTTAATATATAAAATGTTTTCTGAAATTTATAAGTTCATTTTTTTTTCTAAAATAGTATATTGCACAAATAGCTAGAGCATTAAGTTATATTCACCAAAAACACGTTATTCATCGAGATATAAAACCAGAAAACTTGTTGATAGATTTGAATGACAAGATCAAGATTGCAGATTTTGGATAGTCTGTGCATACGATTCAAAGGTATGCAACAAAAAGAAGTTATGTTATTTATATTTGAAAGAATTTTTCAATTAGGTTGCTTTTATATATAAGGCATAAAACATTTTGTGGTACATTGGATTATCTTCTACCTGAAATGATAGAAGGCAAAGAACATGATGAAAAGATAGATCTTTGGTCACTTGGTGTTTTGTGCTATGAACTTTTGACAGGTACCGCACCATTTGAAAAAACTGGTCATACTGCAACATATAAACGAATTGCAAAAGTTGAGTTCACACTTTCTAATCATTTGTCATTTGAGGCTTGTAACTTGATTTGTTCGATAACTTTCTTTAAATATTTAAAGTATTTTGCTAATAAAGTTAGTGTCGATTTTAATTTTATATTACAAACATAGTTACTACAACGTAACCTGAAACAATGTCTACCTTTGAAAGATGTCTTGAAACATCTATGGATTCAAAAATACTAGAAAAACCCGTGAATGTAATTCCTTTATAGCTATATTTATCTATAGATATTCTAGTGCCGTTATCATTAGTCACCAAGTAATTATCATGTTAAAATTTATTACAAAGTTTAAGTCCTCAAAAAGATGGTCTATTAATCCTACTTTGAATCTACAATAAAGTGTATAGAAAACTTTAATATCTACAAATTTGCTTATTGGTTGAAAGCAAATTCAAAAGGCAATTTCCTGAAAATTTGCTTCTGAATTTATCTTTATCTATTATTCAACCAATCGTTCAAATGTCCTTGATTACCTGAAAATACGCGAAAGTTTCAACAAATATTTTAACTCATATAAAGACTAAAAAAGCTTATTTTTTCATGTAACTTAATAAAAAAAAGTTTAACAATCTTATGAAGAATAATAAAGTTTTTAACAAAAAAATTTATATATAGATATACAGAAAAAACATGTCCTCAATCCTACATTCTCTGACTACTAATGTTGATAGAAATTTCACAGATTATGACAAAAATATATGGAGTTTGGTTAATGGTCGTTTGATTATTTAATCAAGTAAATAGATAAGTAAGAGTCATATTAATAAAGACCATCTACGATAGTTCTAAGAGCTCTGGTAGTAGTAGAATCCTTGATTCTCGGAATACTTTTTTTTGAGTAGCTATTGTTTTTTTTGTTGTGCTTTAAATTATGAATTATAGTTACTCTCAATTCACCCTTTTATATTTGGTAGGCAATTCTTAATTTGTGCCAGGTTGGAGGCTCATTAATCAGCCCAAGTAATTTGTACAAATTAAAAAATTCTAATAAATTTGAGTTTTAATAGAATGAAAATACTGTTATTCTACTCGAATAAAATGTTCTTACTATTCATTTTTTTTCATAACCTTTAGCTTCTGCTATTACCGTTTTGAACTCAAAAAACCATACTTACATTCTTTTACTGTTATAATGTTTATAATTTTACAGACCAGAATAATGACAATTCGTCAAAGTTCTAATATAATACGCTATAAAAAATATATATATTGGTCTTAAAAGTATCATTAAAAATCTCAATTATACAAAATATGTTAGGTAATAAACACGTACTATGTAGTTTATAAAATATATATATATATATTCTTTAAATGAAAAAAAACTTTTCTTATAATCTACGATGAATCGTATTTAAAAAAAGAATAATAGTAGT